AATTTAATATAAGAATAAGTACTCACAGGAGATTATTCGGGTGTTTGCAGCTTGATGTGATATATACTATTAACTACTAGAAATATTCACAGTAGAAAGATAAAATGTAGAGATTAAATGTATAATAGTATTTAAGCTGAGTTATAAATAGTATTCATGAACTTCAGTCTATATAGTTGTGTGTAGTCAAGAGCTGCTAACTCTATTAATTATATAAGAGATAGAAATAGAGATATAGAATCTGGAAGAATCAGAATTTCTTACAGATCTCTTTCTCTCTAAGACTTCATCTGTAAAGTCTTTCACTGAGTGATTCTATAGAATCAGGCTCAGCACTGTAGTGATACTTACTAAAAACTCTTCACATCTATAAAAAATCTCAGTGAGGAAAAATCCCTTATTATTATAAAGAGAAAAGAGTCTGTTACTCAATTTCTTATTCTGTGAGATTCTTTCTAATCTGCAGATCTTGCTCTGACTATTATACAGATTCATCTCATATCTTTCATACAGAAGAGTTTCAGTTGTCTCTCAATTATTTCTGTGAGATTCTTATGTAATTATTACATAGATTTATCTCATAGATAAATCACTTTCTATGAGATTATCTTTATCAAAGAGAAGTATTTACAAGTTAATCTTTCACTTATTCTTATGAATCATCATTCTTTCACACTGTAGAGTTATAAGAAATTTTTCATTCTTTCATCAACTCTGTAGAATTATAGAATTAAAATATTCACAGTCTGTAATTACTCTTTATAGTTCTATAGAAAGATTCAGATCTGTAATTCATAATCACTCTTTATTTATTAGAGTGATCTGACTATTTCATAGAATTATTTATAGTATAAATAAATCTCTCTAGAGTAGTATAAATATCTCACATCTGTCTGTGAAATCTTATCTTCTTTTATCTTTTTTTATAATGACTTTTATGTTTATAAACTGTGAGTATTCTTATTCATCTGTGAAGTATTTTTACTCAGATAATAGAGAGAGAGTGTTTCTGATAATATTTATATATTGATTTAAGAACTTCTCAAGAATTAAAAATTTTTCAATTTCAATATCTTTATAAATAATGTCTGACTGTTGTTAAGCTTCTTATGAGTGTTATTATAACATCTCTGATCACTTTCTATCAGCTGATGAAGTAGAGATATCATCACTTATAACAGTATCTTCACTTCTCTCAGACTTATCACTGTACTCAATCTTCAGATCAGCAGTTAACTCTGTGCCTCTTTCAGATCAGTCTCTGACTCTCAGTAGTGAAGTTCTGCTCTTTGCTATAAGTCTTCTTATAAGTAATTTTTTACAGATTCTAGCTGACAGTTTCTGTGAAGCTTTCAGTGCTGTCAGTGCTCTCTACAGCTCTGCAGATCTATGATTACTCTCTCTCTATCTGCATAATCTCTGATCAGATATATGTAAATATGTCTAGATTCTCTATCAATGATTATTACACTGCAACACATTTCTGCAATTCTGATATTAATAAGAGATGAGTTCTCAGATATCTGTAAAATTCAGATAATCAAGATAATATAAATATTATAAATTTGTGATAGAAGTTAATCTGAATAGATGAGCTCTCTCTCTATATCTTAATGATTTCTGAGCTGAATACTTCAGTATAACTGAAGAAGTGAATATAGTTTTATAAGAAATATCTAATTATATATATAGATAATCAGTTCTTAAGATTCTGCTACAACTGTATACACTCTGATGTCTGACTCTCTTGAAGTCTGTGCATTTCTGATCATCTTTATATCAAAAGTAATAATTATCTGTATCACAGATATAATACTCTCTACTTCTTTGAAAGAGAAATTGATAGATATGAGAGAGTGAATATTATAATATTAAAAATATAAGTGTGAATTTTCTTTATTTTTTCTTTATTAGTCTCTAAATTGTGTTTACAGCTCTGTCTTTATTTTTCTTTATTTTTAGCTTTAATGATAATATAATTTCTTCTTCTCTTTATATATATTACAGACTGTTTATCTCAGTAGAAACTCATCATCTTTATAGACTAGAGTTTATAAATAACAGTATTAATATCTTTATCTTAATTAGGTTCTTAGTGAAGACTGTGTTATTCTGACTTATTAGAATTTATAGTATAAAAGTCATATCTCATCTTTCACAGATTTCTTATCTATTTAAATAATTCTTAAGTGAACTTATTTATCTTATCAGAATATTCTTATCACTGAATTTTAAATCAGAGCTTATAATCTCACTTCTCTGAGATAATAATCTCTTTGATCTGATATTCTCTTTCACTCTTTAATACTTTATAAACAGAGTGATAAGTCATAGAATTCTCTTCTGAGAATTTCTTATATTTATAAAGTAAAGAGATATAAAAAATATTATATATCTATAACTCAGAGCACAGTTTTAATCTATAGAATTATAAACTAACTTTCTTCACAATCTTATAAAACTCTGTTTATAAGAGATTCAGCTTCTTATCAGATCTCTGTATAATGATGTTTTTCAGACTCAGTCAGACTTTATCATTCTTCTTAAATCTCTTTATAATATACTTAAAGTTATAGTATCTCTTCTGATACTCTTGAGTCTTTCTCAAGAATTCACAGACTTTTTTCTGAATATTCTGAATTCTCTCAGTCTGTTCATAAGTATTATTACACTCTATAGTGTACTCTCATAGATTTATCAAGATCATCTGCAGATAAGTCTTAGTAAGTTTCTTAAAGAAGATTTTATCTATGCTGATATACTTTAAGTTATTATATATAAACTCTGTGAGTGATAATCAATACACTCAGTTATTCTGATTGTAATTAACAAAGTATTACAGATACTATTTTAATATACTTATTAGATATTCTATCTGATTATCTGTCTATTGATAAAAAGCTGTGCTTAGATCTTATAAAATCTTCAGTATAGTTATCAGATCAGATCAGAACTTTTCTATAAAAATTAATTCTCTATCTGAGATAATATTCATAGATAACTTATATAACTGAATCACATTACAGATAAAGATATAAGTTAAATTCTTTGACTTTAAGTTCTTATAAGTGAGTATAAAGTGTGTTATCTTGATGAAGTAATCTACTATTATCAGTACACTGTTAAAACAGGCATTATATATATTTTTACTTTCAGAGAGACTTACAAGAGTGTTTATTTCTAGCTATTTTTAAGATTCTCACAGAATGAGTAGAGAAGTAAGTTCTTTATATAATCTGAACTACACTATCTGTGAACTCTGATAAATAGTATAAGAATTTACTATCTTCTTTTCAAGTTCTTATATCTTCAGTTAGAAGTATTTTCTTATAAGTAACTCATGAGTTTTAGTATATATAAAATAATCTGTTAGAGAAGAGTCATGATACCTTTTAATAAATTCTATACATAGAAACTTATTTATAAGTATATAAATTCAGCTCTCTTATTATAAGAGATTATTTAAGTTTCTTTAATTCTTTATTTTCACAGAGTTAATCTCTGCTGTGAGTAGTTTCTAAATATACTGAGTATATTCATTCTTCAGTTACAGTTCAGATAATCTGAATAGAAGATTTTATAAAGACTTATACTCTATTTCTTTTTATATCAGATCTTCTACAGTGCTTCTCAAAGTTTATAAATTTTTCAGATTATAGATACTCTCTTCAAGAATTCTTATAGAGATTCTCAGAGTGTTAACTCTCAGTGTTATAATAAGTAGTTGTACAGACTTCTTTTCTCTCTTTCTTATTTTCTCTTATAGAGAATTAAGAGACTCTTCAGTTAATCTCTTTATAATACTCAGTTCAAGTATTCTGTAAAGCTTTTCTATCTTCTCTAGTCTCTCTGTATTCATTATTCTGATCTTCTTAATATAGTCAGACCTGTGAGAGAGTTCATCTGCTGAGTTCTTAGTTCTCTTAATATACTCTATCTTAAATCAGAACTTACTGTAATGTGACGGAATTAAAGTAGTGACTAGTCGGCGGCGTCATGTAGAGGTAGTTGTTTGAAAAGCTGTATAAGTGAGCTTGACTATCTTGCTTGAATAGCGAGCTTGTAGGCTACAGAGTTATTGCAAGAATATCACAGATATAATACTTAGTATATTAAGAAGATTGTATGAGGCACACAGTAACTCTTGTATATATTTCAGTAGAAGAAAAAACAAATCACTGACTTCTTTTATAAAGAGCCAGCATCTAGCTATTCTATATAGATAATGAGTGAATACTCTTCTCTCATTTCATGAGTGAGAATAGCCAGAGTGATACCTCAGTGACATCTCACTGTCAAGGAAAATAATCTGTTAATCTTATATAGAAGTGAGATTTTCATATTCATCAATCAGATCTTTCTATGATATATCTGAATGATATTATAGAGTGATTGAAAACTGGTTTAAATGAGACAAAATCATCTGTATGAAAGCAATGAGCTGTGTAGAATTATAACAGAGTCTTAATATAGCTGAGAGTGTGATAATACTCTTCTCTTTAAGACTATAGTCTCAATACTCTCAAGATTACTGAATTAGAAATTATCTTTGTTATATAGTAACAGTTATTAACTGATTTGATAGTACATGTACTGTGTATAATATAAAGAAATAGATGAGTTTTTCTGCTAACTGTGTAGATCTTTCTTTCTCATCTTCATTCAAATTAACTGTATGATAAGTGAGTTTCTTATATATTAATTTGAAATGTGAAAAATGTAATTAACAAGTGACTTACAGATCTTTTAATATATTTCATTCTATATATAAAATTCTCTGCAAAAGTGATATATTTTAGAGATAAAGCTAACAGTAGTGATAGAATTTTTTAAAAAGATCTCTTTCTTTTATAAAACATTTTTCTTCTCTCTCTCTCAATTGCAACAGTGAGTGTATGAGAGTATTATTCTTAAAGAATAATAAAGAACTTATTCTGATATTTTCTAGTGAATAAATATCTTCATGATGTGACTGCAGTCTCTGTGACTGTCAAGAAAGCTCAGTTGAAGGCAGAGACAGCAGTGTTAATAAGCTGTGAAAGCACTGCTCTTATTGTCACATCTTCTTCTGCTTCTCTTACAGCTGTGGCAGTAGTTACTGTGCATTGCAGTGAGGTGTTGTCCCTTCTGCTGGTTGGTTCATCTGTGTCTGGTTCATTTCCTGCCTCTTCCACCGCCATTGCGACACCACCCCCCCCCTCAATCAACATGGTGACATATGACTCTGTGTGATCATTTGAAGAGAATCTCAGAGAGAGCTTGATTCTGAGAACAGTGACTCTGAGAAGCTCAATCTGTAGTTTCTCTTCTATGACATGCCTGAGCCCTGCTCAGAAATACTGCTGAGTTGAGTCTGCAGAATTCTGTGATTTCTTTGTCTTCTCTCTGTAAGAAGGCTTCAGTGCAGTCTCTGATCAGTACTGTCACTTATCTGCACTACACTAAGCAGCTGAAGAAGAGAGGGATTTTATATATCTATTTCTTCTCTCACTCTCATTGTTTCTGTTATACTTGTAACAATGACTTGTATCTCTCTATAAGTATTATTTCACAGAAAGATGTTGTATCAGCTCTGACTAGAAGTCTAGATACTCAAGTAGTACAGAGTGAGAGTCTCAGAGCTTCAAGTGTTGATAGATTCTGTCAAGACTGAGAAGATCTCTCTTACTCATCTATAAAAGAAGATGAAAGTATGAGTCTCTGAGATGAAAAAACATCTCAGAATGACTGATCTTAAGAAGAGATTAGTCAGTACTGCTGTTGAAAGTGTCACAGAGATTAATTACTGATTAAAGAGAATCTCACTTTAATTGAAGTAGATAACTGAGATACTTTGTAAATTAATAAGTTAATACTTTAAGTATCTCTTATACTCTTCTACAGCATGCTCTTCTGCAGTACTACAGTACTAACTTCTCAGCAGATAAAGATACTAATACTGAAGACTTCAATAATGAAGAATGAGTTTGATGAGAATATAATTATTAATAAGTAGACTCTGATCTCTTTTTTTACTTTTTCAGTGAGCTGTGACTCTATTAGAATAGTAGCAGTCCGCAGATTGATAATATTAATCTTTTTATTAATTTTTAATATTTCTTTTCTCTAACTGCTTAAGGAATTTTATACTTGTATAGTCTTATTAAACTTCTAAAAAACTCTTTGAGAGAAAATAGAAGAAGAGTGCTACAGAGTCTATAAGACATCAGCTCATCACTGTAAGATTATCTCTAAAAAATTGTTTGAAAAAAATGAGAAGTCTTAAGCAGTATATCTTACTTAATATCTCTGATATGTAATAGAACAGTCTCTACTAGTCATTTTATAGCTTGCAATCTCTTTCTCAGTATTTTTCAAATACTCAAGTGATTTTCATGAATTCTCTGACAATGAATACTCTTCTTATTTAACAAGATATTGAAGCTTACTGTAATATATTCACTTATTCAATATTTTCTTTATAAGATATTCAGTATCACTCTTAATCTTAATATCATTCAGCTGAGATAGCTCTGTCTCAGAGTATTACTTATAGAGCTTCAAATAGAAAATGTAAAAAACAGAATAAATTAATTTTAATTCTGTGAGTAATTTCAACTCATATATCTGCTTATTTATTACTCTTGTTACTGAGAAAGATTCTAGTCATCACTCACTGAGCTTCTTACATAGTCTTGTTATCTTAATATTCTTTGCTGAAAGTAGTACTTAATTCTCTATTAAGAACTTCATTAAAAGATGTTTTTAATTATAGTATTTTATCTACTGCTGCTGAGCATAGTGAATACTTTTCACTGCCTTCTCATAAATTTTATTCAAAAGTTTCAATCTTACTTTTACTTCTGATATTAAGAGATACTCTGTTCTCTGTATCTATTTAATATTCTGACTATCTATTTCTCTCTTTGAAATGTTATCTGTGATGTCACTGAATAATGAAGAATTATATTCATAATAAGTATAGAAAGAAGATATCTTTAAGGTTGCATTCTTTACATTATTATATATGAATTCAGTGATTAGAAGATGTTTAAGTCAATTATTCTGATAATATAAACAGAACACTCAAAGATGCTGTTCTAGTGTCTGATTCTGATATTCAGTCTGATCATCTGTCTGCAGATGAAAAGTAATACTGAGAAGACATCTTATTATAAGATAATAGTAAAAAGCTGATCAGTACTTGCTGATGAAGAGGGATTCTCAATCTGTTATCAATGATTTCAGAGCACTGTGATTATAAATAATGATATTTAAAAATAGATCAGTCAATTCAGAGGCTTTAATCTTTTTATAAGTAGAAATATATCTGATTATCTTTGTAAAGTGATCAATAATAATTAAAATTAAGTCATATTCTTTGACTCTTGTCAACTTCAGCAGATTAACTATGAAATTTATTAATAGATTCTGTCATGAGTTCTTTAAAACAGGCAGTGATATCAACTTACTGTATTACTTATACTACAGAATCTTTATTCTTTAACAGATATTATAAGTCTCAATATACTCTTTAACATCTGTCTGAAGCTTATCTCAAATATATTTATATTTGAGAAGCTTCTCAGTCTTCTCTAATCTAAAGTGTCTTATATGAAAATCATTATAATGAATTCTTAATAACTTCTGACACATCACTCTACTATAAGAGATAAAGACTGAATTATTCAGTAGTAAAAGTTCACATTCTCCTAGTTATCAGTGACTTAGTTTCTTAGTGACATCATCTCACTCAGAGTCTGTCTCTTTCAAGTTCAAATCAGACTCTTTCTTCTTCAACTTCTGAATTTAAGCTGCAGTAGAGACATTCTTCTTCTGTAACTTATTAATAAATTTCAAAAGTAGTCAGATTGAAAGATTGTAGACTGTTTCATTCTTTATCAATTCAATAATTGTAAGATATAATAAAAGAAGCTTTTAATCTTCAGTATCAGTTCTCTGTGAAGATCTCAGTTTTCTTTTATCTTCTATACTGAGTTATGTAGCTGTCTTATCAGCACTGTTTCTGAGCTTCAGAGAATCTCAATTCTCTGCAGTCAGCTTCTTCTGCAGTGATGACAGAGATTCTTTTGTAGAATTCTTCTCTGCATCAATGATATTATAATCAGACTGTCTAGACAGTGTATCAGCAGAGTTAAGCTGATTTGAACAATATCAGATATAGAAATCATACTCTGAAAGCAGCTCTGCTCACCTGGCTTGATATTCTATCAAGCTCTTTTATTATCAAGAAGTATACAGAATTTATATAATCAGTGAGAACTTGTACTGAATACTTACTACTCTGAAGATA